ATCTTGTTTGGCACCCAGGGTCACTACAACTATCAAAAACAAGAAGTCACGATGTTGCACTGATGAAAAGAACGAGCATTTGAAAGAAGTTTCTTTGTTATAATGACTAGAGACAATGATTTTTTTTTTGTTCAAAGGCCATGAAAAACTAAGTGTTTGCAACAATATTCATTTTCGTCACTGTCTTTGATTGCCTAGTATCAAGACAAAACTTTCGAAGAAAATTGTAGTCTATAAACATTTCTATAAGCTTGAATCCAATCAGCAGCGAATTATTGTATCATGATTTTTTCTTTCTTTTTTTTTTGTGCGTATGATATACAGATAAAGTATGTAAAGTTTAATCACTTTCTTTGACCACGTGGAGTAACACCAGCACCACAAGATAAAAAGTTAAGTTAATGCTTCATAAGATCCGTGACTTTTGTGAATATCAGGAAATTGTAACTTGATAAACTGGTCTAACTCGAGGCCTGCGGAAGTTTTTAGTCTACTTACACACACAGACACAAAGCCAAAATATCTCGTCTGTCTGACGCAGGAAAGAAAGCTAAGTCGTTTCACTAAGATCCATAATGCTAGAGACTTTCTAGTTAAAAGCTATGTTGGAGAGCGCTTAGCCACTAATCAGAGCTTATTTATGTAACAAGAACAGAATTTCTACTTATTTTTATGGAACTTTGCACTTGGCATCTATAACAAAGTCTCGTGACAAGTGCGTTGATGGTAGAGGATGAATTTTTCTGCGGTTTACTTGTGACCAAAATAACTCGAGACGAGTGCCAAACGAGGGCGTTTACATAAGAAAATACTAGATGGTAAAAAAAAAGTGCATATCATGTTTAGTTTCGTATTTACATATTATATGGAACTTTTGCCTATCAAATGTAAACCAGGGAATTAATTTATTGTGGAAAATCAGTGTTAACAGAGTAGATTAACTTGTTCAAATCACGTGCATAAAAGATTTGTCTATATATTTCCTCGAAAGGAGGTCGAAGGCCGACTGGAAAGGGCACCTGTTTTAACCACCCGCGTCAATTTACAGTAGTGTGTTGTCTGTCAGTCAGTAAACATAAAGGACGTTTAACGTTGCAATTTGTGCTGTCGTGACGTCAGAAAAAGTGCGCATGTCATGAATCACGAGAAGAATTATGGACTCTATAGGCTACAACACAGCGTGGCATATGAACATCAAAAGCAAGAAATGAAAATATTTGTTACTCTTAATTCTGGTTTTATTTACTCTTGAAACAGAACACTTTTGAGGACATCTAATCTATCGTCATTCGTGAATTACGATACAGCCTCCAGTATTAAAAAACAACAGCATAGAACAAAACAGTAGACTTTCACAACAGTTCATAAGCTCTTTAAATAATTTGAAAATAGATAAAACGTAGTTATTTCGTATATTTGATTAAGAATCATCACGACCCGTTAGAATGGGAAATTAAGGAAATATTTTTTTTCTCACAGCTCCATCGACAATATTTTAATAGTATATAGTCACTTTAAATACTTATAAAGCTCATTTAGTTTGCCACTAGAGTGCGTTAGCACTAAAAGGTACGTAAATATAGCAATGGTGTTCAGATAAGTTCTAAATGGTACTACCCATATAAACTTCTCAAGTTAAAGAATCATTCAAATAAAACAGACAAAAAATGGCCAACGATGCCATCTCGAATGTATATAACCATACATATTCATACCGGTCGAATAAATACATCTTATATAGCATAATTAATTTAAATACTTTCCTCGTTATAAAACAGACAAAAAATGGCCAACGATGCCATCTCGAATGTATATAACCATACATATTCATACCGGTTGAATAAATACATCTTATATAGTATAATTAATTTAAATACTTTCCTCGTTATAAAACAGACAAAAAATGGCCAACGATGCCATCTCGAATGTATATAACCATACATATTCATACCGGTTGAATAAATACATCTTATATAGCATAATTAATTTAAATACTTTCCTCGTTATTTTCCATTACATCATCTTTTGTTTATTCTTCATTTTACTAATTTCACACAGCAAGGGTTAGAACTAATTTCCTTTCTTGTCATCGCAGAAACAAGCCTTTTTACGAAATAAAGATACTAGTTTTGTGTTATAATTATAGACACAAGTGTGATAAAAACTTCTGAAAACCTTTAAACTGTAAAAGTGATCATTTTAAGAGTTTAAATGGTTACTAAAGTAAAATGTTAAATTCTAACAAAAAGAAAAATTCTTTAACAGTGAGCATAAATCAGGGTAATTTATAAATGATAAAAAATGTGTGGTTAAAAGTAAAACATTCGTTTAGGATTTTTTATAGTTTTTTTTTTTGTTAAGGAGTAGCTTCATCTGAAATACCTGCAATGTTCATTAAGGACAGCTTTAGGAAAACCTCTGCTATCTTTTCCAATTTTCTCCAAGAGTCCGGTTTGACATTTAGTGGCTTCCGTACCATCACATTTATAGCCTCTACAGTGTACACTAGCTGAAAATAAAGTTAAAACAACATGGCTTAAAAAGAAAGTATCCATGAAAAAAATATGTTTTTAATAACTTCTGATAAAAAATAAGTTAACTGTGTAGATCAGATCTACAAGCCAATGAAACTCACTTTATAACTAACTAACTAGCTTACAAGAAGTACATAATATTTTAAACCAACACATAAGAACAGGTAATGGTTGTATTTATTTGTTACAACAACATTGTATTTCAACTATTTAGAAAAAGCGCTCACACCATAACAATTGTTGTTGTAAGAAATGACTTATATGTTGTGTTTGTTGTATCCCAGCCAGTTTGAAATGCCTTGTTTAAACACATCTCTGATTTCGATACATAAAGTACAAATTAAGAAGATAATGAAAATAACAAACAAACACATCTGCGATTAACATGTTTTTATTGCAAATTTTAGACCTATTGGTTTTCCAAATATTTTCCGCCTAACTGATGAGTTCTGGTATTGCACTTATTGGGTAGTTATTTATGGGAGACAGATGATAAATCTGAAATGCTTATAGTCACACAGCTCAGATTTAAAGCCACAATGGACAAAGGAAGAGCAATGTGGGAGGAGAACATGTGCAGTTAATTTGTTTTCAGAACAATTTGGACTAAATGTGTCGTTGACAATGAATATGGTGGTCGGGATATTATTTTATACTCCCCTTTTCCAATAATCCCTCTAAGAAAGTGAAAAGAATATAGTGTTATAATATAATATTAGGCATAATGTTAATGTGTTATGGCAAGTATAATTGATACCATAAATTTAAATTGTTCATTAAAACAAAACCAATAACGATAATGTGAAATTTTGAGCAAATATTGATACATTATGAACATAATAGTCGTTATTGTATTTAGCTATATTAATAGACAAATACAGTATACAAGTTCATTAAATCAGTTAACTTAGAGTCAATCAACTAGCCAACCTCTCATCAAGCTTACACAAACGTTTTGAGCAGCCAGTTAATTTCGAGTTAGTTTAGAAACCAACCTACTGTTGTCATTTCCTTTATAAATTATTCGGCTTAAAACCAGCCATCTTGGAAGAAACTTCAACTATAAAGCTTGAATGGGTAGTGAAAGAAACTATTAGAAATGTACAACGCTCGACAAGCTTATGTCAACATCATCACCTGACGACGACGTAAGCTTGTCGAAACGTTGTTGTTCATTTGTAATAATGTTTCTTTTACTACCAACTCAAGCCGTCTCCAAGCTTTATTTTCTAAAAAGTGGGATTTCTCGCCATTTAATTTTAGGTTTAAAAAGGAGTTTGTTAAAGGTGGACATAGTAACAGATTTTTATTGAAATGAAGACATTATGTATTATTGTATGATTTAAATGGTATTAGTCATTATTTACTGGTGATTTGAAATATGTTGTTTGATTCTAATAATCGACGATTTTTTATAATCGTCTGACAAACGTATGTATTAATATAGTCAATAAATACCTTATTTTGTTATAATCATGTGAACTTCGACTTGGTGACCACAACTCTCACATTACTGGTATTTGTTTTAATGAATAATATTGTAATTGATATTCATGAACAATAAAACCAATAAAAGTTAGAATGCACCAAATAATCAGTTGTATACCTTCTCTATTAACGATATCTTCTGCCGAAATCATAATATAATGTAAAATTTCAAATTTGTCGTTTTGAAAACAACAGATATATTAAAAACTGAAGTAAATGTACTAAATCCATTCATGAGACTAAATATAACTACGACCAGAGCAATAAACAGCCAAGGGTAATATCTTAATGAAATTCTAATCTCGAAATTAATTTAATTGATCTTAATGGCATTTTTCGTAGAAACTGCTCCAATAATTATAGTATTTGACAGAATACTGATTTAATTATTATAAATACTTCAAACCTTACAGACTTGTTATTAATTTTGAATAACTTAAAGTGATCAACGACTAATTTGCTTTAATATTTTTTCAAGGTTGTTAAAAATTATATTTCAGGTGTTTAAACTACTGGCGGGTTTATAATAATACGCAGCTGTATAAGAGAGAATTCAAAAACATGCAACCAGAAACCAAAAAAAAGGAAAGAGAGAGTAAACTATAAAATAACAAAATTATATAAGGCCTAAGAAAACTTAGTCTCTCTCTTATTGTTTAAATCTCATTCCCGCGTAAACTTACTTCATTGTAACGTAAGAATCTTTTATAATTTGGTCAAACTGGATGAGTTTTTTTTCCAAAGTTGCTTGTGCAAAAAAGTACACCAATAACGCTATGGCTATGGCAAAATAAACGATTTCATCGCGAACTACCATTAGAGAGAAGTCTCTCTCTCTCACGAGATTGAAGGCGCCTTTCCATTTACGTCAGCACCAATCACGAATGAAAAGTGAACAATGGAGTTCAGTAGAGAGAAAATACAAAATGGTGCCAGAGAGTCGGGGCAGTAAGAGAAAACTGAATAACATTGCTTTCCTGACTAACATGATTACCGTTGGAAATTCATACAGAGACAAATTACTGGTATGATTACCCTCGTAAGTATGGAAGACTGAATACAACTTTCCAATTTTTCTTTATTGTTCAGTCACTTACGCACAATGTGGACCCAACATTTCTCATTAATTGCCAGTGGTAAATGAACAGAATAGTCAATCAAACAAGTCTTCGCGTAATACATAAAGTAAAATAATAAAACAACAGAAATTTCAGTTCATTCAGTATGCTTATCCTGAATATAATTAACTTAATGTATGATAAGATGTGTGTGTGCGTGTGTTTTTAATTTTACATTTCATGTTCAGGAAGAATAAATATGTCGTTGCAAATAAAATATCATTAAATGTATACCGATTCTTACAAAGACACTCCTAATAATATATTTTTCTGAACTTTGTACAGACACAATTTACTAAACAACAATACAAGTTGTAAACTTCAAACACTTGCGACATTAAACTAAAACTGCTTACGTTTATACAAAGAGAGCAATTCTGGAATCAAACAATCCGTACTTGATCAATATAACTCAGTGTATTGATTTTAGCCGTCTTCAATCGAAAAATAATAGACCAGTTCGTTCTATATTGAGACCATAAAATTTAATACCTAAGAAGAAAAAAAAGATGTAACTAAATCTAGTTATAAAAACAGTTTCCAGAAGAGGGCGCAACGTCATTTCTCAGTTGGTAGTAAGTTATTTATATTTGTTTATTTGTAATTAAGCATAAAGTTACACAATGGGCTATCTGTGCTCTGCCCACCACGGGTATCGGAACCCTGTTTCTGGCGTTGTAAATCCGCAGACATACCGCTGTGCCACATTTAATGTTCAGGAAGAATGAATCTGTCGCTACTAGTAAATTATATCATTAAATTTATACCGATTCTAACGAATCGTTATGCCGCCAAGTACGTTTCGCAGGTTTAGTTATGAAAAGTGACAATCAATCCCATAATTACGTTCAAAAAACCCGAGTAAAGCTCTTGTGGTAGCAGATTGGTTGCCTTCCATCTGGCCAATAACTTGAAATGAGAGAGAGTTATGCCCGAGCCCCAGTGGCCTTTGACCTGGTCGTTTAGTCCACGTAACCCATAAGATGCTATTCAGGTTGAACATTCCAATTTCAATCTTTGAAACTTCGCAACGAAATGTTATATTAACCTCAATATCGAATAAGTTTTTTAAGGTTTCATTAAATTTGGAGGGCTGAACCAAAGCAGTTAGTATGACAAAAAGAAAAGTTCTTGTATACGAACACCCAGGTCCTAAAAATTTGAATTTCAATATAGTAATAATATTTTCACGACATCTAATTTTGCTCTGTTTCGTAAAACAGAACAGCCCTCGTATTCGCAGTCCGAGCACGCTAACCACTAGGCCACGCCCGACCAAAGTATAAGAAAGCTATGACAAATATATGTTCATGACGGCCTATGTTAGTTTTAGATGTTAAACTACGAATACCGAAAATTTTACCGTTACACGCCAAATTTCTTATTCTAAAAGAATAAAATCGATTGGTTCATCTCACTGAGAGTAGCGCCGCTGTTGTCGTGACTCCATAGCAATTACATTATAATTATAGGGCTTTAACCTTTACTGGAATCGATTTTTTCCAGAATATGAATGACAGCCTTTTAAATATACCAGCTTTTACATAATCCGAACAGTTAAAGTATCTAATACAACTTATATATACAAGCTTAAACCTAAGCTCATAAACTTATTTATGTTGTTAATTATTCGAACGCTGCTGGTAATTTAAATACACTGTTATTAATGTAAGAAGACAGAGTCGAAAATACTTTAAAGAAAATAAACTTTGTTGCTGTATGGAAGTTATATCAATCTAAACAAAAGACTACTGCAGCTATCTCTTAAATATTATTAGTGTGATTTCTTTGTTTGTTTTTTGAGTTTTGCACAAAGACAATCAAGAGTTATCTGCTCTAGCTGTTCCTAATCTTGAAAAGATAAGACTAGAGGAGGCAGCTAGACAACAACACCCGCCGCCAGCTCTTGGGTTACTAGTTACCAACGTACGAATAGTGGGGTTGACTGTCACATTATAATGTCCCTGCAACCGAAAAGGCGAGCATGTTCGGCGAAGGGTTTTGATCTCGCGACCTACAGTTTGTGAGTAGAGTGCCTTAACAACCAAAGCATGTCAGGCTCTTATTTCGGGCAAACAAACATTATAATAATTATTATGTGTCGTTGTGTCCACAACAGTTTTTTGTTGTTGTTGTTTATATACATATATAAATAATCAGCATTGTTTATTTCTATTCTTAAGTTTTTTAACGCAAACTGGAATATTTTACTAGACATATTTATCAATGCAAATAAACTCTGACCTTTATCTCCAGAATATAATTTTATTCTTAAATATTTCGCTATTACAGCTTTGTCAGGAGTAAACAATCACATACAAGTTCTCAAATGAAGCTAAAACAAATTAGACCACAATCACCAGCTAAAC